AGCATAATTACACTAAGTAATAATAACTAAAGCAAAATGAAATAGCATTTATAATTTTACTTTTGACCTACCTGTTCATTCAGAGGTCTTTCTGCACTCAATTCTCTATTATGTAGAGATTTGTCTAGAACAAACACACACAGATATAAATTTAATTGTGCGTTGGAAGGACAAAATATGTCTCGTTAAACAAAATTGTCAAAAAGAAACAGATATTTAGAAATATTTTTGGATGACTATGAAACCAAATATATATTAACAAACATTATCAAGATTACACAGTAACAATAATTATCAATGTTGCTTTGTTTATTATCTCGGTGTATTTCCTGAGTCAATATTATAGAATCACACTTTTTTTTCTGACCAGAAATCTAACATACAGTTTTAACACTTGGCTTACCAGCTATTCACAACTAGAGAGGGCATAATTTGCATTGGTATTATAAATAGAATATCTGAGAAAGGTGGTAAAACAACTAGGAAAAAATCCAAGCCACTTTAGATAAAAAAAAAAAAACAAAAAGATCTCCCTTTTTCAAAATAAGATCTTTAAAAACCACCCATGTTATTGTTTTATCATTTAAAAAGTAAAGAAAAAAATCTGTCTTCCGTCTCTAAATTCAAACTGATTTCTCTGTCAATGTTCATGGATGTGATTTGATCATTTTCTATGAGGCAGCGTGATTCACAGCTCACGGATTATGTCAAGCTTTACCTTTTCGTGGCGAAATAGGAGGGAGCTGGGCAAGAGAAAAGTGTCCACATACCTTGGCTGCTTCCCGGTTTGGGGAAAGCTTGAAGCGGGCCAATGTGGATCACCAACACCAGGATCCAAGTGCCGGTCCAAAGGAGCCCCATTCTTTCACGCTCCAGCTTCAGAAATAGCCCGGCGCCGGGCTCCCGCAGCTGAAGCTTTTGTTATGAATGAAAAGGAGGCGTAAAAGCAGGAAGAGCCAGGAGGGCGGGTGCGCGGAGGGAGAGTGGCGGGGACCGCGCGGCGGGCGGAGCCGGCGCTGCTCGGAGCAGACGGGTCAGAAAGGGCTGCGGCGTTCGGGAGTCAGGTGTTCAGGTGGCGGGGAGCGCTGTCCGCGCCGTGGGTGCTGAAGTTCCTGTGACGCGCAGCCGGCCGCGGGGCCGCAGGGGCGTCGCTTTACTCCAGCTCCCTCCTGGAGAGGAAGTGAGGGAGGAAGCGCATGCTCCGTGCAAGCCAGGGGCGGGAAGGGATGGCGTCAGAGACTCCAATGCTACTCCAATCCCCCGGGACCGGGATGCGGGAGGGGTGACAGACCGGCTGGCGTGTCTTCTGTGCTGCAGTCGTAGGGATGCTCCTGCGCTCAGGGTCAGCTGGATTGCCGTAAGCTAGACATAATTGTCATAACGTCCCAAGTAAACGTCATCTCAAGGACCAAATGCCTTCTCTGCCTGTGCACCTGTCAAGGAGACTTGGATAACCTTGTGCAAAGAGTTCTGCTTTGGGATTCTTCTGGGGTATCTGCTCCAGAATCCCTTCTTTCCATGCCACCTCCTGTACCTAAAAAGTAGATATAATTCTAATATTCTTAGAAAAGCCCTGCCTTTTGTGATTTGTGTTGACATGCCAAGCATTCCTTGATGCTCTTGTGTCTGAGCCAGGTGCTTCACATACATTATCTCATTCACTTCCCAACAATCCAGTGAGGTGAGTACCATTATGCCCATTTTCCAGTTGAGGAAACTGAGTCTCACAGTGGTTATGCTCCCTGTGAAAGGTCAGTCAGCTGGTGAGTGCAGAACCCAACACTGAATGACTCTAAACCCCATAACTGACCCCATTACTGCACACTGCGTTCCTGTACCACTTCTGTCCCTTAGTCCTTCATTCAAGGGTGACCACTATTCTGAGTTGTACTACGCGTTATGTAAACTGACTCAGGCAGTCTTTTGAATTGGGAAGTTCAAGAAACATTCTTTAAAATAGTCAGATTGCTGCAACACACCCTTACTCTCCTAGATGCTGAAACAGAACAACAACAAAAATCATTGCCTATTCCCCTAAGAGTGAGTGTCTCATCAGTTCTGAGAACAGCTGAGCAGCAATGGGCAGTTTCATTCTAAGATTCTCCTGTCCCCACCAAGTGGAAAGCTCCCCCTTCACACACACACACACACACACACACACACACACACACACACACACAGTGAATTAACAAACAAAAACAAAAACAAACCTGCTGCACTTCTGTAAAACTCTTTCCCGGGATTTAATTATGCCTAAGGACCTGGCTGTTCCAGGGGTCCTTCAAGAGAGGGGATAGTCATGAAAAGCATTTTTCATCATAACTAAGTCAGGGAGGTGCTTCCCATATTCTGAGAATATATATATTCCCAGAAGCTGAAGGTTGTTGCATACAAAGAGCCATCAAAAGATTGTAAATAATGAATACAAGCAACACCAATGTGAACCGGGTGCTGAGTAAGCTCTTTAGTCTCTGATTTTTAAACAGAACTTGGACCCTTTCCTTTGGACTGCAGCATGCTGGGAACCAGTCTGAATAATGACCAAAGAGAAGGATTCAGCACAATCAGGCCTTTGATTTCTGCACTCTGCTTTTCAAGGAGCAGTTCAAGTACCTAAAAACAAACAAACAAACAACCAAGCTGACAAACAAATCTCCCTCGTTCTGGAGATTTTTGAGTTTGGAAATTACTCAAATACTTCCTTTAAGGATCTAAAGAGTACTTATAAATCTAACAGCTACTTCAAAGCAAATAGCTCTTTCTTGGCAGTGAGAACATAGCATTATTATCCCACTATACTGCATTGTAAAAAATTGTCACCTTTTAAAATCCCAGGTCGAATGAAAGGTAAATTTCCTTAGTTTCCTCTTCTTCAAAACAGAGATCGCAGGCTCTGTTTACCTCACACTGTTATTGTGGAGATCAAATGGGTACATGTTTTGAACAAGTCATTTTGATGCCAAGAATATTTTTTGACACAATCAAAAAAATAAATCACGCTTTCAGCCTTTATGAAACATTACCTAATATTAAGTGAAATAGCTATGTTTTTTATCCTGAGATGGGAAACTCACTGAGACTCACTCTCTCACTGACCTAATCGCTCAGCTTCACTTTATCCTTTGTCCCATTGCTGACTTACCTCTTCCTTCAATATACGTTTGCAGTTGGGAGAAATTCAGGATGGAATAAAGGTAAGGGACAGCTATTGAGTGCCTTGTGTTGCTTTCCCAAAAGAACAAAGGTATTTTACCTCTTTCTGCCATTTGGACTGAAAGTGATTGTGTTAAATGGACACTAAATCTAGAAGCATGTTGTTTCTGGTCAAATGAGCAGTGGAGCATTGAATAAACTGTAAAGCATGAATTAGTTTACATTCTTCAGACTTATGGATGATCCCACTGAACTTAATACAGGTCTGTGAATGAAGTAATCCTAAATTGCATTTATTTACTCACTCATTTAACAGATGTTTATTGAGCATCTGAAATGTACCAAGTATTGAGATAGTTGCTGTGTATACAAAGATAAGTAAGACACTAGTCACTGCTAGTTTTATAGCCTAATAGAGGAAAAAGTACCATGATGATAACCTAATTGATATAATTATTGATAAAAAGATTAAAATATTTGATTCTTATATGTAAGCACACTATAAACATTGACTAACATAAAAATGTATGTTGAAATTACAAAACAAATGGCATTGACACAGATCAGATGATTATGAAATAGACAATATACAAGACACATGAGTTTGTCATTGCTGCCTGTGTATTTTTCAACACACATGGCTCAATTGTGGTGTGCTTGTTCACGGGCAGAAAATATGCCTTTTGAGCTGCATCTTAAAGATACAGACATTTCAAGACATTTATTACAAAAATATTATATTATTTGTTATTGCGAAAATTTTAAACACAAAAGGAGAGAAAATATTAAAATGAGTACCCATGAACCCATGACCCAGCTTCAATAATCATTAACTCATGAGCATCCTTTTTATTTTATATCTCCAGCCACTTCATACCCCCAATGGATTATTTTCCTATAAAACCCCCAGACTTCATGTAAGTTCATCCGCAAGTATGCATATATACTTATCTAAAAGATAAGGATTATTTTTCCCCAACATGACTGCAATACCTTTAACATACCTCATAATAATAATGCTACCTTAGTATCATCAAATGTCAAGTCAGGGTTCAAATATCTCTATTTGTCTTATACTGTAAATATTTTTACACTTGGTTTGCTTGAACCAGGATCCGAACCAGGATCCAAACAAGGCCATGCATTGCATTTGGTTGGTATGTAACAGACACATATGTAAGACCAGAGAGGCAGATGTTGCAATGTTTTCTTTGATTTCCCAGATGAGTTAATTGCCTCCTCAGGATACTATGCACACTTCCAACTTAGTGTGTATTCCATTGAGCTGCTTTCTGTAGATGCTTCCTTTCTCTATATAATAAATACACATTGAAGGAAAAATTCTGAAAATACAGATAGGCAAAAAGGGAACAAATCATCTGATAGAGACAACCAATGCTAACTTTTGGTATATGTCCTTTTGGCATTTGTTTCTTTCTAAGAAAATATTTCATACATGTATTTATAAAACTGTATCTTTCACTGTAATTATAAGCTTACATAGCTGGCTGTCTACCCCGCTAAGCTGTTAATTTCTCAAGGGAAAGGATCTTTTCTCTTTCATCTTTGCATTCCCTGCCTTTCTTACAGTGTCTGGAAATCCATCTGCTTAAATCAATGAATGAAGTGATGGAGGGTTGCCTGCTTACCTTTGGTCTTCAAATGTCGAGACGGTGATGGCTGTCTCACGTTGGAGGACTATGACACTGTCAGTATGATTCCCCACTCAGCACTGTCTTTACAAACGAGTAGTCTTACGGAAGAGGTGTTTATGAAAGGCCTAAGAATAGAAAGCCTGAGCTGGCAAAGGCCCCCACAGCTACAAAGCTACAGGAATGGGCTTGTTGCCGTGAAAGAGGCTGATGCAGGATACCTGCGCTAGAGATGGCAGCTCACATAGCTCAAAGGAGAAGTGAATGTGCAATCTGGAAGTTCACCACCAGAGGATGGTTGAAATAATCAAGGATAATGAAAATGAACAAATAACAAGACTAAAACAACCCAAAACAAAAGCATGGAAATGAAAAGATAGGGGGCCGGGTGCGGTGACTCACACCTATAATCCTAGCACTCTGGGAGGCTGAGGCGGGAGGATTGCTTGAGCTCAGGAGTTCAAGACCAGCCTGAGCAAGAGCGAGACCCCATCTCTACTAAAAATAGAAAAATTAGCTGAGTGTCGTGGTGCATGCCTGTAGTGCCAGCTACTTGGGAGGCTGAGGCAGGAGGATCGCTTGAGCCCAGGAGTTTGAGGCTGCTGTGAGCTATGATGATGCCACTGCACTCTACCCACTCTACCCAGGGTGATAGAGTGAGACTCTGTGTCAAGAAAGAAAAGGCTATACGAATAAGGAACATGGGTCCAAACAATGGGATGTTACAGGCTACCTACAGAGTGCAAAGTGTCAGAACTGAATCTGAGAGTAGGTGGGGGGAGAAGGTATTAATAGCTGGACAGCAAACTTCTCTTGTTCACTTATCTTGCTTGTACCAAGGTTGAACAAGATGGGGTCAATTACCTGCCCCTGCAGCTTTTGGAGGAAGATGTGAGATGCTACGTTGGAGGGCTTCCTCCAGAGCCACAAGGGTAGAGTGGTTTCCCAGAAGAAATCAGGGTGAGGAAATAAGGCAGACAAAAACAACGGATCCTCACTATGCCATAGAATACAGTATTAAAAATGAATTGAGCATTATTGGACAAAAGTATCAGA